TTGGCCTAGGTTTGTGTGGCTTTTTTTTTTTTTAAATCTTGCCATCTGATCCCTGTTTAGAACCCAGAATTCACAGGGCTTTGTCTAACACTGCTTGTTTGCCTCTCTAACTGTGATCCCTTTCCAGTTCCAGGGTTCCCTTCAATTGCTGTAGTAACCTGGGTCCGGGGCCTCGGTGGTGCTCCTGATGTCCCTCACCCACCCCTGAAGATCCCAGGTGGGCGAGGGAATAGTCAGAGGGATCACAATCTTTCAGCTAATTTATTTTATTCGGTGAGTATGAATAATAATAAACAGCTTGCTGTGGTGAGTTTGAATGCGTTTCTTGCCTCAAGCCTATTAATGGGAGTTAACCTTTCTCCGAAATGAACTGGAAATAACTTTGCACATATTACTGCTACAGGATAATCGGCTGAATGTAACAGAAGAACTAACATCTAATAACAGGACAAGAATTCTGAATGTCCAGTCAAGGCTTACAGATGCCAAACACATTAGTTGGAGAGCAGTGCTGAACAACAACAGCCTCTATATAGAAATTCCCAGTGGTGCTCTGCCTGAAGGGAGCAAAGACAGGTAGGTAGCGTAAAATCCAGCTGTGGTTTAACCTGCCTCTGTCTTCAAGGCCTGGCAGTAGGGTGGAATAACACTGAACTGTTGTTACTGTTTGCTTCCATTGTTTCGAAAGCTGAAGTCTAGTTCTGGTGCTTGATGCTCTCTTGAGACTGCAACTCGGTGATGGTGGTTTGAGAGCTGCTTCTGCCTGTTCTGTCAGGTGGAGCCACCCAAAAGGTCTGTGATTTTAAGCAGTGTTCCCAGGTCCTGGGTGGCTGCTGTTACCCACTGAAAACACCAGCCTGGTTCTCAGTCTGTCACTGCAGTTCTCCCCTCAGCTGCAACAAAAAAAACATGTTTGCTGCCTTACTGGAGACCTAGATTTCTGCCTCTAGTTAAACCTGGGGCTTGGGGATCTTGGTGTGAGCCTCCAGCACTTAGCCTCTTGTGCCTACGAGTTAGGGTGGGGATTGGCTCCCTGGGCCTTGCTGACTGTCTTTGAAGGAAATGCTCACTCCTGTGCACTGAACACCTTGTATTTGTCTTGCAGTTTTGCAGTTCTTCTAGAATTTGCTGAAGAACAGCTTCGAGTTGATCATGTGTTCATTTGTTTCCACAAGAACAGAGATGATAGAGGTGGGTGTTAACTCAGCGCTGTCCCTAGAGATGTGAATGAGTGTTGGACGTTGGGTTTGGTGGATGCTCTAACTGTTGTACAGTATCAAATGGATGAAACTTGTTTTCTGCTTTTTTTTTTCTAGCTGCATTGCTCCGTACTTTCAGCTTTTTGGGCTTTGAGATTGTGAGACCAGGGCATCCCCTTGTCCCCAAGAGACCAGATGCTTGCTTCATGGCCTACACATTTGAGAGAGACTCATCAGAAGAAGAATAGATTGCAATGTTTGCCTCTTAGAGCTTTCTTGTTGTCTATAAAGATGATTCTGTAGAAATTTTGTCAACATCTATTACAGTATATATAACTCTGTATGAAATGTTGTGACCAACTGCTCTGGTGGTGAGATGTTGAAAATTTCAGACTCCACATCTTTTTCTGGATTTGTGCGCATGTTGTGGTTGTGCAAATAAATGCTCCCTCCAAATTAGCAGTATATTTCTTGAAGTTTAATATTGTGTTTGTGATACTGAAGTATTTGCTTTAATTCTAAATAAAAATTTATATTTTACTTTTTATTGCTGGTTTAAGCTGTTTAAGACTTGCACTGTGAAGAGATGGCTCTGGAACTGCCCCAACCATTAAAGCTGCAGGTATGGAAAGGCCTTGGTCATTCTTTGCTTGACTGGAACTCCTGGCTATGATCTGTCAGGATTTGGAATAATCTAGCAATCCTGTAAAAGCCTACTTCTAGTGAAATAATTAGCAGGTTGTCGGTTTCCACTGGAAATTGGGATCCCTGCATCCCTGCTTGTAGCAGTGTTTCGCAGAATACTGAAGGGCTTGTGGTGGAAAATCTCAAGTGAAATGCTGAGAAGCACAGCTCATGGCTGTTCCAGCGGCTTTGAGTATCAAATATGCAACTTTTTGAAGCTTCAATGTTACCAGTACTGGTGGAGTCTTACACCAGCCTGTGTTAGCGTGCAGCATGGCTTGATGAGTGTTGGCTGTGACCTAGGAAGGCTTGTGGCACTTCCAGTGCTAAATGCTGTCACCGAGGCTGGGCAGCCTCCAGAACTCTCCTGGGGAGATTGGGGCTGAAGTGTGAGGAGAAGGGGCCGTTGTCAAGGGGTGCCGGTTGGGTCCACAGACATCTGTTAGTGGTTAGGGTGCTGAAGAGAGGGGAAGATGGCTGCTTGGAATTCACAAAACTTGTGCTGGCTACAGATAAGTCTCCCAAGGGCTGTGTTTTAAAGCTTTGTATTTCAAAATTTTTTTAATACTTGCAGCTTTGGAGGCTTGTTTGGCACCATTTGAGCTGATTAATCTTTCCTCTATAAAACCTCATAGCATGAGTCCCTGGGATGAGTTATTTTACGCTGTGAGTCAGCATAAATAGAAGCACGTGATCTCCAGGCGCGTGTGCTCTGCCAGGGCCTCCCGTACCGCTGAGCTGGGCTTTAGGAACTCTGTACACTGTGAAATGTGTAAGGGGGGGGTCTGAGGGTCTGCATCCCCCCAGGTCATCCTTAGGCGGATATTCTGGGCTAAGCAGGACTGGAATCACATGGCATACAAAATGTAATCCCTGAAACTCCCTTCTGGGAGATAAAGCGGGGAGCAGATCCTGCAGTGGGATCTGCAGCACAGGGTAACCCAGGGGGATGGCTCTGTGGGCCCAGAGAGCCTGGTGTTAAATTAGCCACAGCCAATTTCCTTTTTTTTTTGTGGCTGTACAATCATACTCTTCCTGGGGGTTTTTTTTTTTTTTTTTTTTTTTTTTTTGGAAAGCTGTGAGCTTGCTGTTCTTAGTGTGCCCATGGCCAGCGAAGAGGAGGTGGGTACGACCAGGGAGGGGATGTTCCTCCTTTACTCAACAGACTGGCAAAGCTCTGAAGCTCATAAAGTTCTTGTTTTCCTCTGTGACGCTGTGCCTGTGCCGTGTGGTCTTCTTTCCGCAGGACCGTGTGAGCGTGGAGATGGACGTGGTCCTGCCTTGAGCGCTCGGGTCCCCTGTAGACATTTCTGCTGCCCTTGGGTGCTCCAACTGCTCCTGGAGAAGGGGAAGGGGCCAGCTAAAGTGGAAACCAGAGGCAGAGGTGCAGGAGGTGGTGACCTGGCGCTGCGGTGGGCCTGCAGGTGCTGGCAGAAGTAGGTTTTGTCTTTTGTTTTTCCAGGATCAGATGCCCGAGGTGGCTTTGGGCGAGCTGCTGCTGTGCCACGGGCTTTACTGCCATCTGGTAGCCGCGCAGGATACTACAGGAGATGTGCTGGGGACTTGTAGGGCTGGGGCTCACCCAGGACAATCCCTCCCAAAAAGCCCATACTGAAATCTGAACAACTTTTCTGGGGACTGGCCGTGCTTGGGTGGTGACCGTGTCAGGGTTTATGTGGCCACGGAGTGTGTTCAGTCCCCCTTTGCTTGTCCCTGCTGCTGGGTTTGGGTGCTGCTCTGGGAGGGGACGGACGCCTGCTGTGCACGGAGCCTCGCACCGAGGGGCTGTGGTGGTCTCAGCGGGTGTTTAGCCCCCCCGCATCCCC